AAGAAACAAGATGAAGAGGAAGTACGAAACTATAGATCACCGTACGTCCTTCAACAATAAGCAAAAGTCGTAACGTAAGCTACGAATGGGCCCGACATGACTAAATATAAAACGAGACAACACATAGCCGAGGGCGTGGATGGGGTTTATAGAACAGAGAATAATGGGAAAGAATAGAGAAAATGTGCGAAAAATGAGGTGCTAAATTCTACAGAATAATTGCAAAAATTAAAGAAATTCGGTAAAAATATACTGCTTACAGAACAGAACAATGTCCAGAATACAGTTATCAAGTAATTACAGAATATCCTTTTTTTTCAAAGATCAATAATGATGAGCGAAAAAATTAAAGAATATTCAGAAATGAAGGACCTGATCCGTACCCTCATAGCCTGATATTTATGATTGATATAAAACAATAAACGCAAACCAATTTGACAAACAGCAACCAGACTTTTACCAGTCCGTATACAGAGATTAGTTATACGTTCATCGAAATCCAAAACGTCACTACAAACACAGGCATAACGAACGAGTTGGAAAATAAGTCAGTTCCTTCAGTGTTTAGCTTCTATTACATGAGGCAACAGAGACAGATACCTCGGTAAAAAAATTACCGATAAAATCTATGGAAAAGCTTCCACCCATAATGCACCAGACTCGAGCTAGTCGTATAATTTATACCCCTTACGAAGATCTGCCGAAATATAGCGCTTTCCCGATTTATTAATGTTCCCCCAATCCTGCATGCTTAGTCGAAAATCCCTTTTTATGTGTAGGATGCTCAATCTCATTCTAAAACAGTATCTAGAGTCATAGCAATTTACCCAGTTTAAACTGACAATTTTCTTTAATCATTCGCCAAGCAAATGTTTTAAACAGATTATCCAACGCATGAGCCTTCGCGGTCTCCTAAGAGCAGATAAGCGTGAAGCCTGCTGATGACATTTTAATTTTTGTTTTGAATCAACATGCGCTGAAAATATCCAAATAATACAATGTGACGCAAAGGTTTGCCATAATTATTCATAAATTTAACTAAATTGATCGAATCCGAGGCTGTACATTTTATCGACTTGGTGGTTGCAGCAGAATAATCAGTCATTTGCTTCTGTACATATAGTGAACTAATTTTTAAATTAAAGAGTTGCAGCAAATTTTCCTTGATGTTTTTTTATTCACGTGGTTAAAACCTGAAAGTCGAGGAAATCTACCAATATTTATTTATTAGAGAGTCTAAATATTGTAGTTACAAGATTTTGAAATATTCTAAAAATAAATTGTTCAACATGCAGAGCTACGGCATACATTGGTGTTGAAGAAGATTTTGATACTATCTTGCAAATTGTAAGCGGTTTTTTCCAAGTTAAATTTTGAACAGGACATCTATTAACAAAATAGTGTATCTATATTAAACCGAACACACAGTGATACATCTAATAAATAGAATTTAAGTTGTGTGTCAGGATGCTCTTATCATTTTTTTAAGTAGTCCGAACTTAATTGCTGTTCCCTTCCAATATTGCCATCTAGATTAACTTCATTTCCCTCAAAAAACCATGGAGGATATTTTCTGTAATAGATGAATAAATGGCATACAACCTTTTGGAATTAAAAAAGACCACCAAGATATGAAAAACGATATGTTGAACTTCAATAAAAGTTTATGGTTGCTTAAACATCTCGCAGTACACTAAGAAATTATCAAGATGGGACCATTTTACGACAAGTTGAACACATTTTTAGTAAAACTGACGTGTTCATCATCTCAACCCATCTACAATCCAGTCTGTATTGTTGTTTACATCCTCGTCCTATGGAGTGGATACTTCTCTCACTGGCAGTGTCACGAAATAGACGTTCCTTCATCATATAAGTTCCAAAGGGAAAAAATATTCTGGAATATTGTTTCCACTGGAATAAATATTACAGTATATGTTCCTAACTGAATAAATGGTATAGAATATTATTTCCAACAGGAACAGATATTATGACATTGTTTATAACAAAGTTTCCAGTGGAACTTCTGTTCGGCAGAACAAATATACGCTGACAGCAGTCATCACATTTCTCCTTTTTATTGTCGTCTGCTTGTTCTGTGACATTACTTATTTAAATGAATATACAAATTTCAGTGAAATAAATGCTTTGAAATCTTTGAAACAAAACTAAACTAGAGGCTCTAAAGAGCCTGTGTCGCTCACCTTGGTCAGTATGTGCATATTAAACAAAGAACACAGATGGATTCATGACAAAATTGTGTTTTGGTGATGGTGATGTGTTTGTAGATCTTACTTTACTGAACATTCTTGCTGCTTACAATTATCTCTATCTATAATGATCTTGGCCCAGTAGTTACAGTGGAAAATATTTTGTAAAAATTTACAAAAATTTATGAAAATTATAAAAAATTGACTATAAAGGGCAATAACTCCTCAAGGGGTCAATTGACAATTTTGGTCATGTTGACTTATTTGTAGATCTTACTTTGCTGTACATTATTGCTGTTTACAGTTTATCTCTATCTATAATAATATTCAAGATAATAACCAAAAGCTGCAAAATTTTCCTAAAATTACCAATTCAGGGGTATCAACCCAACAACGTGTTGTCTGATTGGTCTGAAAATTTCAGGGCAGATAGATCTTGACCTAATGAACAATTTTATTCTGTCAGATTTGCTCTAAATGCTTTGGTTTCAGAGATATGAGCCAAAAACTGCATTTTACCCTATGAACTACTTTTTAGCCATGTCGGCCATCTTGGTTCGCGGGCGGGTCATCGGACACATTTTTTAAACTAGATACCCTAATGATGATTGTGGACAAGTTTGGTTAAATTTGTCTCAGTAGTTTCAGAGGAGAAGATTTTTGTAAAAGATTACAAAAATTTACGAAAAATGGTTAAAAATTGACTATAAAGGGCAATAACTCCTTAAGGGGTCAACTGACCATTTTGGTCATGTTGACTTATTTGTAGATCTTACTTTGCTGAACATTATTGCTGTTTACAGTTTATCTCTTTCTATAATAATATTCAAGACAATAACCAAAAACGGCAAAATTTCCTCAAAATTACCAATTTAGGGGCAGCAACCCAACAACGGGTTTTCAGATTCATCTGAAAATTTCAGGGCAGATAGATCTTGACCTGATAAACAATTTTACCCCATGTCAGATTTGCTCTAAATGCTTTGGTTTCAGAGATATAAGCCAAAATCTACATTTTACCCCTATGTTCTATTTTTAGCCATGGCGGCCATCTTGGTTAGTTGGCCGGGTCACCGGACACATTTTTTAAACTAGATACCCTATTGATGATTGTGGCCAAGTTTGGTCAAATTTGGCCCAGTAGTTTCAGAGGAGAAATTTTTTGTAAAAGTTTACGGACGACGGACGCAGGACGACGGACGACGGACGCCAAGTGATGAGAAAAGCTCACTTGGCCCTTTGGGCCAGGTGAGCTAAAAAGCAAAACTCACAAAAACTCATCAAAGACTAAAACAGTCGTTATAGAATCTCGTATCTTTCATGTATTCGTTTATTATCAATTGAAATGGTACTTCTTTGTTTTATTTTGTTTTCATTCTTTGTAAAAAAAAACAATAATATGTTGATATGACAATAACAATAAACTTGAGAATGGAAATGGAGAATATGTCAAAGAGACACCGGTCAAAGAGACAACAACCCGACCAAAGACCAGACAACAGCCGAAGGCCACCAATGGGTCTTCAATGCAGCGAGAAAATCCCACACCCGGAGGTGGTCCTCAGCTGGCCCCTAAATAAAATTGTGTACTAGTTCAGTGAAAATGGACGTCACACTAAACTCCAAAACATATAAATGAACTAAAATTAAAAAAAACATACAAGACTAACAAAGGCCAGAGGCTCCTGACTTGGGACAGGCGCAAAAATGGGGCGGGGTTAAAACAATTTTGTGAGATCTCAACCCTCCCCTCTACCTCTAGCCAATGTAGAATAAAGAAACACATCGCAATTGAATACGCACAGTAAAAATTCAGTTTAAAAGAAGTCCGAGTCCGATGTCAGAATAGGTAACAAAAGAAACTAAGCAAAATGACAATGATACATAAATGAACAAAGGACTACTAGCAGTTACTGACATGCCAGCTCCAGACCTCAATTAAACTGATTGAAAGATTATGTCTTCATCATATGAAAATCAAGTACAATCCCTCCCGTTAGGGGTTTAGTATCATACCATCATAAAGTATATGAGAAGAACATAACCCGTATCATGCCAACAACTGGTTTTAGAATAAATGTGTTTATTTCCGATGCAAAGACCCTATGAGTGAATCAATATTAATACCAAAATATGCAATCCTTAATGACTTGACAACAGTATCGTAACTATATCCTTTCCAAATAAGTCTTTTTAGAGGTTTGGAAAGCTTTTGAGGTGAATGCCGACATTTTTGTGCTTTGTAAAGAATATTACCATACAATATAGGATGTGAAATACCTGAACGTATAAGATGTCTGCATGTTGATTTATATTTACGAATAATGTCCTTGTACCGATGATAAAATTTAGTAAATGTTTTGACTAGTTTGTGATATCGAAAAGTATTAAAGTGTATTGAATTCGAAAACTCTGTTGGACTACGAAGCAGATGGGACCACACGTACAGTTGTTATCACCTGCATGGAAAACTCTAGGGTCTGTGGCAGATGAACTTCGACGCCAACCGCCAACGCCCCCAAAGAACTGTGAAGAGAGTGTTTTTGGATACAGTGTACGGGGTATATTCCAAAGCACTTAATTCGAATAAAATTCAAAGCAGAAATACAACAATTTGATGACAAGAAAGTAAACACAGAGACAATTCATACATTTAACTTATCAAAACGGCTAAAGTACCATACGAACGCAAACATTTACAGCTGTGAAATCATGTATAAAAATTATTATGACACAAAAATATTTACAACAATCCGTTAAAATCATATTTACCGCCTTTTGTTGAACATTTACTGATCCAGGAAGTAATATTTCAAAAGTTCAATTTACACCTGCGATCATAGGTATGTAATCATAAGCATTCTATCTTCATTGCATGCATTTACACACGCACAGACATATATATAGTGCATACAAATCACAGGCACTTGTTTTCTATCCATGGCAAGATCAACTATCCCTCTATATTTAGTGATAGTAGATATTTCAGGTTATCGTTCGAATCCTCAAGTACCTGCTGATGAAACCAGTTCCTTGCATCTTATAAATCCTAATACAAAGTTATTTTAATATTGCATTATGATTAACAAGTTAACAAATATGTTGTATAGTTTTAATCAGTCGTTTGATTCAGTGCTGGCTAGTGTATACCCTACATCTCATTTATTCATATGCATTTAACCTGATACAAAGTAAAGATGAGCTACTGGTTTAGAGCTGTAAACAAACATGACAAAGGAGTGTCTATTTAAAACCAAAACGAAATATATACTTATTTACATATAACTTATGAAAATGTTGATTACTGTTGGAATCTCTAGTTGTGCGCTTTCAGTGGTAGACCACAGGGTTATATTGGACAGAATTACTCTATGGTTGCAAATATATGTGCTTATTAACCTATGAAAACTTGAGATGTAGTATTTTTACAAAAGTATATGTATAATGCATAAACCCACATAGAGTGCAATTTTGGCAGACCGCATTTTTATGCTCTTCAGTTCGAAATTGCAATCTATAATAACTTGTGAAAATGTTTAAACTTTGATATAGACTTGTGCTGAATGTTTTAGGAATATAATTTCCAAATGACGATTTTTGAAAGTGCGGACTCACTTGATGGGGGTGGCGATACACACGACTGTGGTCATGATCATGGCACTGGACAACAGAGCATTGACAATATGAGATACGAGAGATACCGCCTAGAAACTTTCAGTAGATGGCCACAGTCAGCCAACGCGGATAAGAACCAATTGGCAGCCAATGGCTTTTATTACATTGGTGATGGCAATGATGACAGGGTTCAGTGCGACTTTTGCAAAATAATTCTGAAGAAATGGGAACTAGGAGATGATATCCAGGAGGAACATAGAAAGCATGGTCCGCAATGTCCTTATGTAAATGATCCTGCACATGCCGGCAATTTTCCTCTTTCTTTTAGGAGGTTAGATAGTACCAATCGTCACCACCACGGCCCCCGCCACAGAGAGTATCAAGAAAGGCAGATGAGATTCGAGTCTTTTCACAACTGGCCTATTAACAGAGAAAGAAGACCAACCCCTGGTGAACTGGCAGATGCAGGATTTTTCTACCTTGGTAAAATAGTTGGATGTATATAGACTAAAAATAAGGAGACGTAGTATGGTTGTCAATGAGCTTATTATTTACATTAGCTTTGATACTTAAATAATTAGGGCCCCGTCAAATGGCGGACGCCCTATAGTGATCAGTCTGTCCGTCCGTCCGTCCGTTCGTAACAAATTATGTCCGCTCTATATCTAGAGAACCGTTATGATTTCAAAGTTTATACTTGACATGTATATTAACCATTACCAGAGGGTGTGTCATAATGTATGTACAACTTCCTAGGTCAAAGGTCAAGGTCATAAACTTTGGTTTTAGTTGACAACCCCATGTCCTATGGTAAAGATCGTGTCCGCTCTATATCTTGAGAACGTTATGATTTCAAAGTTTATACTTGACATGTATATTAACCAACACCAGAGGGTGTGTCATAATGTATGTACAACTTCCTAGGTCAAAGGTCAAGGTCAAAAACTTTGGTTTTAGTTGACAACCCCATGTCCTATGGTAAAGATCGTGTCCGCTCTTTATCTTGAGAACCGTTATGATTTCAAAATTTATACTTGACATGTATATAAACCAACACCAGAGGGTGTGTCATAATTTATGTACAATTTCCTAGATCAAAGGTCAAGGTAAAAAAACTTTGGTTTCAGTTGACAACCCCATGTCCAATGATAAAGATACAAATTTTTACCACACATTATTCACACGGGGCCCACAGAGATGGCTCCCATCTCAATGATATCTAGTTTAAAATAATTTATCACTATGTGTATTTTAAGATAATTATGACTTATAAGTTGTGTGATTTCAACTGTTTTATACTAGTATATGAACATTGAACCACATGAATATTACCAAAATAACTGCATGTGTATTGCTGTTCTTCAACCTTTAACTAACCCTATGAAGCGTCTTCGACAATCAGCTTTAATTGCCTCACCTGACAGCAAGGTAAAAAAAAGAACTTGGTGTTAAATTAGTTTGAACAATTATTTTTTTCGTTCTACCACATTAATCTGTAAACTTGTTTTTGAACTCTCTACGGGAAGAATGAATCATTGAAACTTAATAAAAGATTGGGGTTTTTTTTATTATAGGTCAAGGCGACTCTGTCAAATGTTTCTATTGTGGAGGAATGTTGAGACACTGGGGAGAAACAGATGAAGTGTGGGCAGAACATATGAAATGGTTTCCTCTTTGTCTATTTGTCGTAGAACACGATCCATCATCTCACGAAGAAATTGGGCGCCATCTTCAAAGAACTATTAGTGGAATAGCCTTGTCAAACGGTTACTCTGATGATGAGATAAGTGGGTACAGACAATACATTGAAGACAATGAAAGTTAGTATATTACGAACTAGTCCGAGACTGCTTTGGACCACAGCCCCAAGCAAGTCATAAAAAGGACCGTCAGACGCCAGAGCAATCTCATATGTTATTAATATACATTATTATTGTACAAACCATGTCATTATTTTTATAATAGTAAAGTGTTCAACCTACAATGTTTTACTCCTTTGAACTAATTTGTATGTCTTAATACCATATCAAAAAAATCAGCAGTAGCAGTAGCAGTGAAAATATAGAAATGGGGCGGCAAACTATTGCCACCACAAGACTGTATTTATAGTTTGAGCAAGAACAAGTAAAGTGAAATATACTTAATGGTAAATAAACCTTAATGAAAATATTAACACCAAAAATGAAAAAAGGGAGTTTATGTCCAACGCTTCTTACGTATTTTATTGTAATATTATGTTGAAGGTTTAGCGCCTTAAAACCTGTTCAACAACATATGTCTCAGACAAAAACTTTATCAAGTCAAGAATATTACAGCCGGTTTTCGGGATGTTTCCAGATACTAGTAGTCACTGTGATTGTGAGAGTGTTTTCCTGCTGTTTCCAGATATTAAGATAGGCTCTGTGACTGTGTTTTCCGGATGTTTCCTGATAGCTAGGTAGTCTCTGTGATTGTGTTTTCCGGATGTTTCTTGATAGTTAGGTAGTCTCTGTGATTGTGTTTTGCAGATGTTTCTAGATAGTCAGTTAGTCTCTGTGTTGTGTTTTCTGGATGTTTTTTGGTAGTTAGGAAGTCTCTGTGATTGTGTTTTCCGGATGCTTCCAGATAGTCAGGTAGTCTCTGTGATTGTGTTTTTCGGATGTTTCCAGATAGTTAGGTAGTCTCTGTGATTGTGTTTTCCGGTTGTTTCTAGATAGTTACGTAGTCCCTGTGATTGTGTTTTCCGGATGTTTCCATATAGTCCGGTAGTCTCTGTGATTGTGTTTTGCGGATGTTTCCAGATAGTCAGTTAGTCTTTGTGATTGTGTTTTCTGGATGTTTCCATATAGTCCGGTAGTCCCTGTGACTGTGTTTTCCGGATTTTCGTTTTCCCGACTTTTTCGAAATAGTTTGGTAGTCTTTATAATAGTATTCTCCGGATGTTTCCATATATTTTGTATGGCTCTTTGATCCCCCTTTCCTCGGAATTGTTAGTTAACTTGCTCTTCGGATTTAAATCAAACTTAATTTTCTTCTAACGATGATTTAACCCAGAGTCGTAGAAATTACTTACTTAAAAAATTATTGTGAAGCATCATATTTACATTGCTTTCAGTTTTTTCCGTTTACATACTAGCTCGCATTTATTAGTCCCCTACCGACGAAGTCGAAGGGGACTTTAGGTTTGCAATCTGTCCGTCTGTCCGTCTGTCCATCCGTCAGTCCGGCAAATCAGTTTTCCACACTTTTTTTCTTCGTTCTTGAAGATATTGATTTGCTATTTAGTATATAGTTTTGCCATGACAAGTTATAGATCAAGTTCGAATTTTGTTCCGGTCTGATGATTCAGTCCAGAGTTATGGACCATTTCTAATGTTAGAGTACTATGTTAAACCATATTTCTGTACAAAGGGAGATACCTCATTTTTTAAAAGACATTCTTTGGAAAATTATTTGAAGAATTTTTTGGCAGGTTTGTTTGTTATTTTGTATAAACTAATTTTCTGAATGCTATATATATATAAAAAAAATTATGAAGTGAAATCCTTTAATTAGATAATAATCTATTTTTATTAATGTATATATTACATTACATTGTGTAGATAAATTTTTTTAACATTTTATAGATAAGTTACAAATCTATATTAGTTTGTGACAAATAAAAGAAAAAATATTTGGAACTATTAATTATATTTGATTATAATTTGAAAATAGATATACACTGTATTACATCATATCTAACGTTAGAGAACTATTAATCATATCTAATGTTAAAGTGTTTTCCACACTTTTTTTCATCATGCTTGAAGATATTGATTGATAATTGGTATATAGTTTTATCATGACAAGTTATACAGATCAAGTTTGAAATTTTGTTTCGGTCTGATAATTTTGTGCAGAGTTATGGTCCTTGGACTTGAAAAATTCACTCATTTAATCAGTTTTCCACACTGTTTTTAGTCATGCTTGAAGATATTGACTTGATATTTTCTTTTTGTTTACACCATGACATTCAAGTTATAGAACAAGTTAGCTTTTTGTTCCAGTATAATGAATTTTTACCCTGTAGGGGACTATGTATTGCTACGCAATACTCTCAGAATGCTTGTTTCCTTTTTCTTTTTCCGGGCTAATATAGGTTATATGTCAACGCGATAGCCCCACAACGACATAAAAATCATAAGGCACGGGTTTTTTTTCAGTGTGTCGTTATGAAGAAATTTAATGGTGTCTGAAAGTTGACAGCGGATTATGTTCGATGTTAGAGAAACATATTTTTATTTTCACCCTTTTTGATATTTACAATGAAAATTCAATGCGAATACAGGTTCCTTAATTCCCTAAGCTCTTTTTGATACATTCACCACAAGCACATTCACTATCGTTTCGTAGATTTTGAACGGGACACTATATCAATATTGGATCCATCATGTTTCCCAATTTGTTGCAGACTTCTATGACAGAAACTACTGTAAACATATTACAACAATTAAGATTATTTTGATAATAACGGAAATAGAATAAAATTAAACCTGAAGTTTACTGCTATTAAACCAAGGAAAGGGTTATTGTCGTTTGATGGACGCCAAGTGAGGAGATCAGTTCCCACAGGATATTTTTGTGCCAGATAAACTAAAATGGATTTTATCGTAAACAGTACAATATATGGATAATTTAATTGTCTTTTAGTATTTATATATGATGGTTTGGTAAAGGATTTTAGTATTTATATATGATGGTTTGGTAAAGGATTTTAGTATTTATATATGATGGTTTGGTAACGCCTTTTAGTATACGTGAGGATGTTGAATTTATAATGTTAAGAAGATGTATGATTGCCATTGAGACAACTATCTTTAAAGACCAAAAGGACAACGATCCGAGCAATTAAATATCACCGTAAGGCCTTTAACATGCCCCATACCGTATAGTTAGCTATGTAAGAATCCTGAATGAAAATGATGAAGATGTGAAACGATTCAAAAGAGAAAACCAACAGCCTCATTTATACTACAACAATATATGAAAAAACAAAATGTCGGATAGCTCATACTATGGAACGCCTCAACTGTCTTATGTGGAACTCTGATATTACTTTATGTTGTTTTATTATTACTTGATGATATTTTGTCTTTACTTAATATGGTTTTGACATTACGTAATGATGTTTTGATATAACTCAATATGGAATAGTCATTACTTAATGATATTTCGATATTACACGATATGGTTTCGTATTGACTTGATATAGTTTTGTCATTACTCAATATGGTTTTGTCATTACTCGATGTGGTTTCACCATTATTTAATGTGGTTGTGTCATGAGTCAATGTGGTTTTAACATTACTTGATGTGAATGTGACTTAACTTTATGTAGTTGTTTCATTACATGATGTGGTTTGGTATTTTGTAATGATGATTTGCCTATTCTTTATATGGTTTTAACATTACGTAATGATGTTTCAAAATTTGACGATTTTACACTACATGATGTGTTTGTTTCATTATTTGATGTGGTCCTGTCATTCTTTGATGTGGTTATCCCATTACTTGATGAGGTAAAATCACGTGACCAATTCGGAAAAAATCCTGTTCTATTTTTAGATAGATTTCCATGTTGTATGTGCCTTGGATGAGTGTGGCCATCCATCGAATTAGAGTTCAAATTAAAGTTAGGGTTACTGTTTGAGTAGAACTTTGAGTTAGTCTCCGATTCCGAATTCAAGTCATTATTAGCATTAAAGTTTTAGTTAGCATTGAGTTTCGAGTTGGACTTCAAGTTTGAGTCACATTTAAAGGTAGAGTTCTAGTTACACCATTAAATTTGAGTCACTTTTTGAGTTTGAGTAAGATTCGAATTTAAGTCTTATTTAGATTAATTAAGATTTTGAGTCAGTGAAATTCGTGCTATCTAATATGAGTTCGTAATTAAATTTTCTATCGCGGAACAAGGACTTTTGCTCGGGATTCCGAAAAGAGGGCTTCGGGGTATGCGTACAAAAGATAAACAATGTTACAGTGTACAAAACGCAACATAGAAGTTGAAATAAAGTTAGATGTGGTGTGATTGACAATGAGACAACTATCCACCAGAGTTTGATGCAATGGATGTAAGAAATCATATATAGGCAACCGTACAGCCTTCAAAACACCATATAGTCAGCTATAAAAGGCCACCATGCACCATGTGAAAAAAATCAAACGAAAAAACAAACGGTCTTATTTATATTTAAATAATCTACAAAAAAAAATGACACACATTTATACAACGACAACAATTGAATTGAACTTCGTGCTCCTGACTTGGGGCAGGAACATAAAGAAAGTGCACGTGGCGGAGTTTAACATGTATGTGAGCGCTAAATCCTAACCTTACTTCGGACTGTTACACTTGTGTAACAGCACAACACGAGAAAAAAATGTAAACTAGACAAAGTGATGCCCCGCACTCAACTCATTTAACCGCTTATACCCAAAAAATGACAAAAGAAAAAGGTTCAATTATCTCCCAAAAGAGCAAAAGATAATAAAAATAAAAACCCTGACCACATGCACACCTTCAATATATGTACAAAAAGCCAGCAGAGCGAAAACTTCCTAGCATTCAAACTGTAGGAGGAGTTATCTGGAAACGCTCTTCTTATGCAAGTAAATTTCCCAAAAAATTACAAAGTTTAACTATCTCCAAAAAGAGCAAATATTAATAAACATTAAACCCTGACCACGTGCACACCTTCCATATATGTACAAACATACAGTAAAGAGAAAACTTCCTAGGATTCAAACTGTAGGAGGAGTTATGCGGAATAACTATATACCCATAATGGGACGGACAGACGGACGGACGGACGGACAGGGGTAAAACAATATGCCCCCCCCCCCCCAACTTTCAGTTGCGGTGGCATACAAAACAGTTTCATTTGGCTGACTATGACTGGGTAATATAAATCAATCGGGGTGATCTCGGATGCTCTAGAAAGGCACCCGTCGTGTTATTCGAGAAAGTACAAACCCAGTGATTTGGTTTTGTTTGGTAGTTCACATTCAAGAAAAAGATGACGGTATTATGGTTACGACCACTGGAACATGTCCGTCGTCACATGTGAAACAGATATTCCAAAAAGTTTATTTTTCAATTAGTGCGAGGTAGATCAGGGAATTCAATTGATTACAAATAAAAGATTGATATTTGTATAAGTTCAAATGATCATTTACGCTAAAAAAAAATCGGAGAATTCTTATTTTATAGTATTGATGCTTTGTCGCTAAGTCCGAGCCCCCTCCCCCCGTTTCCCTGTAACTTTAGTGTGAGTTGATTTGAAGTGCTTCATTTGTTAACATTAAAGTTCAAGTCGTTTGATTTGTGTCGAGCCTGCGACATCAATGTAGCGGCAGTGAGACCCAACAAACCTATATTTCGTCGTCGATAGTGGCGTCGGCGTCTCCATCTCCATTTTTTTTTATTTCTATTGAGTTTAACCTTTCATTATACATGTTACTAAACACGTATGCCATTATAATTTTTTACTTTTAGAATATCATACTGTATTTGTTTACCTCAACTATTGTATCTGTATTTATATTGTATGTTTCTCTGTAAACTTGTAATTAGTTTTTAGAGAATAAAGTATCTATCTATCTATCTATCTATCTATCTATCTATCTATAGATCGTTAGGTTTCTAGTTTTTTACATTTTTCATTTCGGGACCTTTTATAGCTTACTATAGGGTATGGGTTTTGCTTATTATTGAAAACCATACAGTTTTGTTTTAGTTAAATAAAACCGAATTAAACTGTTTTGAAATGATAAATTTGTAAACCTCCATGAAGTGTTTTAAAACTTGTATAGGAGAATAGGAGTTATTCATCAATTTCACGAAAAAGCATCTACAGAAAAACATTTATTTTAATTTTGTTTTTACCGATAAATGTATAGATAAATGTACAGCCGATCAACATAACGCCTTTACACTTACAGCAGCAATATCAGGCGAGACATAGGGTTCCGTGGAATATTTTACAAATTTATTACAAAAATACTGCTTCCGTTTGAGAACTTAGGATAAAAACAACAAGACAAAGTGGTTTGGGGATATCCCAATTATGTAAAACATACTGTAAACTTTTTTATACTTTTTTTTCTTATTATTGTCTGCCGGTTACCTTTTTCATGCTTAATAACTCTGAACAACCACTCGAACTTTAATTTGAACTTTAACTCAATGGATAGCGATACCCATCCAAAGCACGTTAAATAAATGATATATTGAAATCTGTTTAAAAATAGAACATATTTTTTTCCGAATTGGTCACGTGGTTTTACCTCATCAAAGAATGACAGGACCACATCAAATAATGAAACAAACACATCATGTAGTGTAAAATCGTCAAATTTTGAAATATCATTACGTAATGTTATAACCATATAAAGAATAGGCGAATCATCATTACGAAATAACAAAACCACATCATGTAATGAAACAACTACATAACTTTAAGTCACATTCACATCAAGTAATGTTAAAACCACATTGACTCATGACACAACCACATTAAATAATGGTGAAACCACATCGAGTAATGACAAAACCATATTGAGTAATGACAAAACTATATCAAGTCAATACGAAACCATATCGAAATATCTTTAAGTAATGAGTATTCCATATTGAGTTATATCAAAACATCATTACGTAATGTCAAAACCATATTAAGTAAAGACAAAATATCATCAAGTAATAATAAAACAACATAAAGTAATTTCAGAGTTCCACATAAGACAGCTGAGGCGTTCCATATAGCCACCAAAGCAACCACTGATTATCAGGCTCCTTATTTAAATGTCGCCAGAAGCTATAGATATACATATATTGTCTTTCAGTTGAACATCCAGAGGAGTACGGGGAATTTGTAAATCAACTAGACCAGTTTAGGCAAAGGCAAGGTCCTATATCTGCCCCTAATGTAGCCAGCAGTGCAACAGAAACAAGTAAGTATTGTTTTATTTTGCATATATTTCTATTTTCTACTTGATATTTGCTGATGCAATATAAACATGTCATTAGTTTAAACAATGTTTAAACCGATAAATCATCACATTAAAATATAACTCAGATGATTCAGAAACAAGCAACCTCTTATTGGTCAAAACATAAATAAACTTTGCAATAGATATATAAATATGAAAAAGGTGAAAAGTATAGTAGAAAATATAGAATAATTTTGAAATCATTTTGTAAAAGGGTGTTATTATAAGAATTACTATCATAATTGCCTCACGTCAGTGTCATTATCTTTAACAACTTAAACAACATTAAATTGTTTCTGTATTTCAAAGTTAAATTTTTTAAATCAGGCTAATCTTGCATTATTATTCCCACATATTTTGAATAAATTTTTTCTGTTATAGATGAAGTAAATCCACAACAGGCAGCTGGTAGAACCAATGTGGAAGATCAGAACGAGCGTTATTTGTGTAAAGTTTGCTATCAAAGTGCGTTAGAAGTTATTTTTTATCCATGTAAACATGTGTGTTGTTGTAAGGAGTGCGGTGATAAGCTATCAGACTGTCCTGTTTGTAGGACAGCCATCAGGGGGAAACTACAGCTTTTCTTTCCTTAGAATTGTTTTATAATTGTTATATATATAGTCTACACTTTTTTCATTAATTTCAGTTACATGTAACAGTCTTTCCTTATAATGTAATTCTAAAAAGACGTAAATCATGATAAAAACGTTGATGACGTCACGGTCACATGACAAAATTATGTCTATGAGCTGATAGACAAAACACTTTCAGCCAATCAGAAGACGTGTTACATCCAAAATTAGATTATATACATAAAACAGAACTATTTTGTTTTAAATATGTACTACTTTCCAGTATGTTCTTTTTGACCCGGCCTGATTTGTCAGTGTTACGCCTTACAAAGTCTATCCAAATTATTTTTGCAAAGAATTCCGCTCAAGCCGGTGTTAGGGTGTTTATTTTATTTTTTTCCATGCCTCCCCACTCGTTAATAAAACTTTGTCATAACAGTTTTTAAAGTCATAAGAACTTCAAATTTAAAGAAAGTTGAATATGTTTTAAATACTCGAATGGCTAAGTTTAACTATAAAGCATGTGTAAATCCTTTATCTTAATAAAATCTTCAGAAGTGTACTGCTGTTAAATTATTGTCTTCCCGTACTCTAATTCGCGGCGCCGATAGCGTTTCCGTATGCAGTGACCTTAACCATGAGAACTCTCGTTAGAACTTCGGCAATCGCACAGCGTAAGTGCGAGGGATGATATATACCGATTTGCTTGTTCAATAACTATATTTTAATTGATTCTGATAGAACAATTTAATACACCAAATAATTGAACAACTGTTCTGGCAAAGATTGATTTACAAATGGAAACGCGTGGAAAATATAAAAAAAATAACATCGCTGTATTACATTCACATATTTTTCACTTCCTCCATGATTCTGTGTTGATTGTTAATCATATTCCAGTTAATTTGACAACCAAACCGAAAATTTATTAGCTTGGGATCAACTATCACTGAATGAAACATTGTTTGTCGACTATACTTTATGGGTTCATAATGAATGTAAAAAACGTGCATACAGAACTTATATAAAAATAAGGGGATGTGGTATGATTGCCAATGAGACAATTACACACAAGATTTCAAATGAAGTGAATGTAAGCAATTATAGACAACCGTTCGGCCTTCAACAATGAAAATGAAAAAAAACCAATACCGTATAGTCGGCTATAAAAGGCTCCAACATGAAAAATGTGAAACAATTCAAACAAGAAAACTAACGGCCTACTGTGTGTAACTTTATAACAAAACAATTTACAAAAAATAATTATGACTGAAATGAACCAGCCACAACCACTGAACTACAATGCGCCTGGCTTTGGACAGGCACATAAAGAATGTGACGGGGTTAAACATGGTTTTGAGCGCTCAATCCTCCCCATAACAGGGACAGTGGTGTAACAGCACATTAGAACAAACTGTAAAAATCAGTAGCAATTGGCTTAACTCAAAAGATCGTTACGAAGCATACAAACAACTATAATAATATAAAAACAGTAGACAAAAAGCACCGAAATAAGAATACTCACAGTTACTGAAAGCTAGTATAAAGCCAATTACAACTAATAGATAAATCATGTTCTCCCAGAATAAAGTATCAATCAGTACACATCCAACGGATTTAATGTAAAGAGGCCATAAACAGTATGAAAAACGTATGACCTTGTGCAATGACAAATTATACGTAAACAATATCGATAGGATTGTACATATTAGGATGTGATATCCCGTTTTTGATAAGAACTCTACATGTACAGCCAAACTTCCCAACCAAATCTTTGTATCTATGAAAAAAATTGGTAACGGTTTTAATTAATTTGTGGTAACGAAAATCCCAGACTTAAATTGCGTTCATTGAAATCTAAAACGCGACTATACATGACTCAACGGTTATTTATAAATTACGTTTATTGAAATCTAAAACGCGGCTACATGACTTTAAAACAGTTATACATAAATTACGTACATTGAAATCTAAAACGCGACTACAGACACGGGAATAGCGAACAAGTTGTGAAATATACACCCCCGTAAGAAGAGGCTAAAGGAACGCCACCGTCTAAAAAGGGAAAATTAGCGAATCGGGATATCCAATATTCAAATCTAGAAAAGGGTAAATATTGCTGTCTATATTAGATTTATTTAAAGTCAGTTAGTTCCTTTGGGTAAGTTTCCGCAGTAAAATTGGAAAATTCTTGATCATTTAAAGCAAAAATATCATGAAGGTAACGGTAAGTGTTTTTAAATTCATCAATTAAATGTGATTTAAACGGATCTTTACTGATTTTGGCCATGAATTGTGCTTCTTAACAGTAAAGGAACAAGTCGATCTGCTATTTAAGGGGCGTAATTGGTGCCAATAGGAATACCTACAACATGTTGATAAACTTTATTGCCGAAACGTATACATAGATGCTGTCAATGAGAAAATTTAAAGCTTTTATCATCTCATCACAGTTCCAGTAAGTATATCTAGCATATGTCCCTTCTTCATTACAAATTTTTCAAAGGACAATTTAATTAAATAAGAGAACTTCTGTTTGATAAGATTGTGTGGTAGTGTCTTGTACAGAGTCGAAAAATCATAACTGATTTAGTATATATCCATGCATTGGTTCAATAACTTTCATAACATTATAATTACAAGAAAACTTGTTTCATATGACATGACTTTAAATGATTTGGGTGTGTTAAAATTTTTCTTTCATTACTTTTTCTTCGTCGGCTATAACGGGGTTTCCTTCACACTTGTGTTGTACGATTGCCGAATGCGTCATTATTAAGGTCACTGCGTACGAAAAAGCTGTCGGCGAATTAGAGTACAGGAAGACAATAATTCAATCGCAATACATTTCTGAAGGCTTGGATAATATAAAAGAGAGGCGGAATATACCAAAGAGATATTCAAACTCATAAGTCTAAGACAAACTGGCAACGCCATGGCAAAAAAGACGAAAAAACAAACAACAGTCTACAAAACTCATGAGACTGAACAACACGAAACCCACCAAAAAAGGGTTTTCTTTTAAAAGAAAGTCTATGACCCATTGGTGGCCTTGAGCTGTTTTCTGCTCTTTGGTCGGGTTGTTGTCTCTTTGACACATTCCCCATTTCCATTCTCAATTTTATGAGTAAAGCGTAGCCAATATTCATTTTTTTGTAAATGAAAGATGTAACTTTAATTGTCGATTTTGGTTAAACACACACACAAACATATATACACACGAATAAACAAGATGTGTTGTATTCGTCACTGAGATAACAACTCAACCAAACAATAGCAACCCGGCACAAATAAGCGATGGACATTTAGAAGTAAAAATTTAGTCTTAATATTAATGATTTTTTAAATCAAACATTTTAGATTTCAGTGTGTTTGAAACTTTTGGTATGCCAAAAACGCCATTAATCAGTGGCGGATCCGGAACTTTTCATAAGGGGGGGGGGGGCTGACTGACATAAGGGGGGCCCGCTCCAGTCATGCTTCAGTGATTCCCTATATAATCAACCAAATTTTTCCCACGAAAAGGGGGGGGGGGGTCAGGGCCCCCAGGGCCCCCCCCCCTAGATTCGCCTATGTTAATCGTTTCTATGTAGCTCAATGTGAATTACACTACTAACGCATAATAAATGAAACAAAATCGAAATTAAAAACTAAGACTTTTTTGTTTACCCAAGTTTTTAAAATTTTACTATGGACCTAAGCATGATGTAAAGTTATAATACAACCAAATAAAACTATGAAGCCTAGCACAGAAATTAGTAGGTCTTTTTCCGTCCAAAAGTTTGACACCGTCCCATCCCTCTTGATTTGATGACAGTCTCTCATTGGTATATATATATGTATACAATGAAACATTTTAACAATTTGACTAAAATACAGATCCTGTTTAACAGAAAAAGGAGAAGATCGTGTGACGTTCCTATCACACAAGATTTCATCTTCATTCCGAATTTGACTCTATTGCCTATAATGTCAGAAATCAATGCATTCCTAATGAAGGTGAATCTTTAAAGACGCGCACATACTTTGATTTAAAGATGCTATACATGAGATAAATAAAAGAAATGAAAGTTCAAAGATATAACAAAAAAGTAAAAAAACCTTGTCAGTCTGAAAATTTGGATCTTATTTGACATTTCAAAATGATGAAGATGTTTAATCGCTTAATTTCGAGCAGTGAATTTTATATAAATATTCGGAATGGTTACATATATATATATATACAGTTTTAATGACAGAAATTTTCCTTTTTTAGCTCACCTGGCCGAGAGCCAAAGTGAGCTTTTCTCATCAATTGGCGTCCGTCGTCGTCGTTAACTTTTTCAAAAATCTTCTCTGAAACTACTGGGCCAAAATTGAACCAAACTTGGCCACAGTCATTATTATTATGGTATCTAGTTTAAAAATCTGTCCGATGGCCACGCCTGCCAAACAACATGGCCAACATGGCTAAAAATAGAACATAGGGGTAAAATGCAAGTTTTGTCTATTATCTTAAAAACTGCTATGAATAGAGAAAATCTTACAGTAGCAGAAATGTTCAGAATGTTAAAATCTACCTACCGACTATTTACATCAAAAATGTCAGACGACTTCTTATAGGAGTTATTGCCCTTAAATGTCAAATTTTGCCATTTTTTTCATTTTTGCTTATTGTTTTGAAAACTGTAATAGATAGAGGAAAACTTTTATCATCCTTATTGGAGTTTGATCTTTAATAAAGATGTTGTTTTTCTGCGTTTTTGCCTAATATCTTTAAAACTGTAAAAAAAATAGATAGAAACTTTAAAGGGCCAAAATGACCAACAAGACAAAATCTACAAATAAGTCGCCATGACCGAAATCGTCAGTCGACTCCTTATTTAATTATTGCCCTATAATCACGATTTTTCCCATTTTTTTGCATGTTTGCCTATTATCTTGAAAATTATAATAGATAGATTAGATACTTTTATTGCAAAAATAATCAGCAAGACAAGATCTACAAATAAGTCATCATGACTGAAATCCTCAGTCGACTCGTGATTGGAGTTATTGCCCTTTAGAGATGTTTTAAACCATTTTTTTTTAGTTTTTGTCTATTACATAGAAAAGTATAAAAGATACAAATGTAGATAGAAACTTCAAACTAGAGGCTCTAAAGATCCTGTATCGTTCACCTTGGTCTATATGCATATTCAACAAAGGACACTCTGCAACATTGTAGACGACAATAGAATTCATGACAAATATCTCTGTCTTGTTGATCTTGTATTGCTGATCATTT